AAATTAAAAAGTAAGCTTTTGGTCTGGCTAACCTTCTTCATAAGAATTCATTTGATGAATACATAATGGAATTGACAGTCCAAAAATCCACTGGTCTTACTTAATCCTTTAAAGGCTTTATTTTGCCACCTAGTTTGTCAATTTCTTTCATTAGACGTCAAATAAATTAGGAATCTTCGTAAAACACGTTATTTAAATGTCGGTGTAAAAGAGTCGCAAACTTACTAAACCTTTAAAAAATATAAAATAAACTCAATTAGCTATTTAGCTTAAGACAATAGTAATGAATAATTCACAACTGGACTTAACCTCAAATTCATTTTGATGGGACTCAACTCGACACACAGCATCATAAACTAACTACAATCTACGAAGATGAAAGTTTCGTCAAGGTAAACTTTCCTAAATATAACGAAAATTATTAAATCCCTTAGTCAGCCTCTAGTACCCTATCATGTAGCTCATATTGAGTGTAGTGTTCCCTACATCAATGACATTTTTCATTTTACGCGGGAAGCAGATGTAGGAAATTATTTTAGTGGAAAACGGTTCGAATGAAGGAGTCTAGGGTGAAAGGTGGGTGAGGAAAATAAAGATTTTTCTTTCCATCGTCCTCGTTGTTTATCTTTTATTAAAATTTAAGCGTGTAAATCCCGAATAATTTTCATATAGTCATTTTAGTGATCTAAGCATGAGAGGTGAGAGAGAGAGAGTAAGCTAGAATTTTACTCACCACATATACTTGTTGAATTGCATGTTTGTTTTCTTGGTTGGTTCTTGGCATGGTCAAGAAATGTGTACCATTTGATTATTAATATCCCATCGTTATCAGTCCCTATAAAAATAGTTGAATATGGCGTTAGATACAACAATAAACAACATCAGAACTTTAGAACTCATATAGGACATGTTCCATAATAAGAAAGCCCCCTCCAGGTTTCGTTTAAGGCATGTCTACACAAGCAATTAGTAGATTTTTCCCACAATTAAATTTTGCATTTTCTTAGCATATTTTTAGGCGCCTAGGTTGAGAGCACTTAAAAATTTGCAAAAAAAGAAAACAGTAACCTTAAGCATGACTCAAATATGACTTCTAAATTAGCCTTATGTAGATTATTCAGGCTTCAGGTAATGTAGACATCTTAAGATCTTTGAAGTCACTTACATATAAAATAGGCAATCATGTAGCATCATATTTTGAGCCTCAAACTCTACCTAAACTGTATTTAAATGATTTATTAATACTTCTTTTCCACCTCCTTTTGTAGATTGCTGCCCGTGGCCTTCATCAAGAAGTCCGTCAATGGTCATCGAAGGACAATGAAATTATTGCCGCTGCCAAGAGAATGGCCATCCTAATGGCCCGTCTTTCTGATCTAGTACAATCCGATTCGCGAGGCAGCAAACGTGAGCTGATTGCCACCGCTAAACAAATTGCCGAAGCTTCCGAGGATGTTACACGCTTGGCCAAGGAATTGGCCCGGCAATGTACCGATCGTCGTATACGCACAAATCTGTTGCAAGTTTGTGAACGTATACCCACAATTGGTACACAATTGAAAATCTTGTCCACCGTTAAGGCCACAATGTTGGGTGCCCAGGGATCGGATGAAGATCGTGAGGCTACCGAAATGTTGGTTGGCAATGCCCAAAATCTTATGCAAAGTGTAAGTGTATTTTAAAGCAGAGTAGTTATTGCTTGGAAGTCTGAGGAAGAACGTTCAGGAGAAGTTGTTGGGTTTCAAAATTGCAAATAATTCGAATTCTATTTTTATATCTGTTACCTTTTTAATTTCTATAATTCTTATTTCCAGGTCAAAGAAACTGTCCGTGCTGCTGAGGGTGCTAGCATTAAGATTCGTTCCGATCACACCAATCGCCTACAATGGGTGCGTCGCCAGCCTTGGTATCAATACTAAGCAGAACATGAATGTGGAAAATCGTATAAATTTGTATAGGTTTCTATTTTTTTACAATTTTATCATTTGTTTCTACTTAAAAAGCAACAACAAGAACAAAAACAAACAAAACCTCTAACATAAGTGCCTTAAAAGTTTAACACACACAAAAAAATGCAATTGATATTTATTTAGTTATTTGTGCTTATTGTTGGTCCCAAAACCACCATATTTTCATCGTTGTTATTAGTTTTCTTTTTTTCTCCTTCAATTCTATATTAATTTTAAGCTTTTTACAACGAATACAAAAAATAAAGTGCCCAAACGCCCCCTCTACAATCTGTGTCAAATATTAAAAAAAAAGTAATGAAGAAATTTCAATATATAATTAAAATAAAGATGTGCAATAACAAGTTTGGCTGCTGAAATTTCGACTGCAGGCCATGAACACAGTTGTGACAACGCTAGGATTTAGCCACATTAAAAAAGGTGAAAGTGGAATGATATCTATTTTGGTCAACGTTCCCAGCGTGTTTAATAGGCCCATGTTGAAGCATTTAATTCAAAAATTCTCTCAAAGTGAAAGATACAAACATGTATAACTAACATATTCTTGAATTACATTATAGTTTACATATGAGTGTTTTATCTCTAAAAAGATTTAATAAATACAAATAAAAACAATTCAAAGTCTTTGAATTTTATTATATAACAACTTTACAATTCCAGCAATTTACATAGATTTTCAAAAAAATCTCATATAGCGTAGTTTCCAGGCAAAGTTAATATAGCAGCTTATAGGATTTATATGAAAAAAAAAAATAAATGTATTGTAACATAATTGGAATCCAGAAGGTAAAATATAAATATTTTGCAATGAAAATGGTTGGTAATGTAAAGAAATGTTTATTTTTAGGAAATCTTTCCTCTGTTCCTGTATCTTGCAAGGATCTACTAGTTTTGCATTTTTTTTCGCTATCATAAATGGAAAATCTATTACCGTAGTAAACATTTTTTACATTCTTGCAGTTCTGGAACAGACCCAAAGATGCATATGGAACTTACCCATTATTCTAGAAAAAGTCGGATGTTATATGGACTACTAAGTTCCATGGACAATGCCAAATAAAATATTTAAAAAAAAAAACAGGCACATTAACGAGGCTATCTAGGTATAATCTCATGTAATATTTTTAATAAAAAAATCTTAATATTTAGGTTTGTATAGACATAACCTTAAAACAAAAAAATTTTCAAGTTCAACCCGATTAAAAAAATCTATTTTTGAATTTCTCGACAATACTATATAATAAAATATGTAAATAATAAATAACAAATAAAACAAACGGGGTGAGTTAAATAAAACCTTTTAAAAAGTAGCCACTTTTGAAAATAATCCAACTTAACCTCAAAGTGCAAATGTTGCAAATTATTTACAATAAACGAAAACAGCCATAACGAGTAAAAAAAGCAACTAAGTCCGATCTGGCCGAACTTTATATACCCTCCTGCATTGGGAAAAAAAAAACTAAAAAAAAATACAAAAAAAATTCCGTCGAAAAATACCACCCAAATGATAACCTTTATGTGGAGGCTGTAGTAACGATATCGAATTTCAAATACGAAATTTGACGCAATTCCGATGAATAATGACGCTAATATCATCAAAATATCGAATAAAAGGAGGTATCGTTGTGTGTGGGGCTACACTAAGACGCGGACCTGAATAGACAGTTTTCCGTCATAAGTTGTAGTACCCATTTCGAAATTCAAATATGAAATTTTACGCAATTCCGGTGAATAATGTCCTGGAAATACCAAATATCTCAGGGTAGTGTTACTTAAACATAGACCTATATAGACAATTCCCTTCCAGGGTGTAGAGTACTCGGAGGGAACTCCTTGTGTGTATTTTCAGACTATTCCATTAAAAAATCTGACTAAAATCGTCAATACCCAATATTGGGGCACCACTGTATGGGGGCTATACGATATCGTGGACCTATGTAGACTATTCTCTTTCAGGGGGATAAGTACTCGGAAACAATTCCATGTGTGTTTTAAGTCAATTCCATTGAATAATGTGACTAAAATCATCAAAATATCGATTATCGGGGGCACCAATGTATGGGGGCTATACGATATCGTGGACCTATATAGACAGTTCTCTTTCAGGGGGATAAGTACTCAGAAGGAACTCTTTGTGCGGACTTTAAGCCAATTCTATTGGAAAATATGGCTAGAATCAACGAAATACGGAACATCGGGGCGGAGGGCACCATTGTATGGGACAATAGACAATTCTCTATCAGGGGGTAACTCCTTTGTAGTATTTCAGACAATTCCTTTAGAAATCTGGCTAAAATCGTCAATATACCAAATATCGGGAGGTAAAAGTCATGGATCGATATATCCCATCTTCGAACTTGACCTGCCTGCAGATAAAAGGCAGATCGGTGCTAATTTTAGCTTCCTGTCTTTAAAGCGTCTTTGTTGAGTATAAAATTATAATTTCGAAGAGTTACAAACGGAATGGAATGAAAAAAATCTCAGATTTACATGAAAATAATAAAGGACCGAGTTTTTATGACAAGGTCATTCTAATTGGCACGAGTGACAGGCTTATATTCTTATTTTTTTTTATTTTATAAAAATTAACATTTTTCTTTGTTCTAGTGATTCAAAAAAGGTTTCCCCAAAAGTTATCCGACAAGAGGCTATGAAAAGTCTCTGCCAATGAAAAATACTTATATTTATTTAAGTTTTAAAAACAGTTTTTTTTTTGTTTATTAAAAATTCGGAATATATTATCCCAGTAAGGGTGTGTACATCTTAATAACTGGCAGTTCCATTTTTCTTAAACGCTATTAAATTATTTTTTAAGTACAGGTTTTTTTAATTTTTCCAATCTACATAAGAAACAGAACAATATTATATAACTTTATTTTTTAAATAACAATTTGGATTTATAGGAGACTCTCTCTTTTAATTTAAATATTTAAAAACTGTACTCTTTCTCTTTTTAATTATAAAAAACAATTTTGCATCCTAAATTTTAACTTTTAATGCCTATTCTACGCTTATTTTTAATGCAACAATCTATTGTTTGTTTTTTGTTTCAGGATTTTCAAACCTAAACAATATTTTTGGCATCACGTGGTATGCGATTCGTTAGATATTGGGCGGGTATAAAACCAGTATCTCCTAAATATTTTATATTAACATTTCCCGAAGGTTGTATGGTCAACCATGTTATGGAGGCATGATTAATGGATATACGCAACCATGCCTCGGGTGGGAATTGCAACGCACGACAAACAAAATAGCGTATAACATTGCCATGACCCACAATTAGGGTATATGTATCATGTTTATCGGAGGGCGAGGCGCGATGGAAATAACGTCTGAAGCCGGCTTCAATGCGGGCACCATCACGGAAGAACTGCTGCATTGTAGTCATCATGAAAGAACAAGAGCAATTGTAAATAATAAGCTAATAAGCTTCTTTTTTTAAATAAAACTCACCGATTCCTCTGGCCTCCAGTGTCCCACCGGCGGCTGTGGCGGTATGGGCGCCCCTTCCCTTATGAACGCACAATGCTTCACATCCTTGGGGTCAAAATCAATTTCCTTCAATATTATATCACATGTCTCTTGGGCCCTGGTCATTGTAGAAGCAATCACTCGATCCCATTTAATGCCCAATTCCTGCAAACGTTTACCCGTATATTGGGCTTGCAAACGACCCCTTGTTGTCAGACGATGTGTCTCATCTGTATCACCCAAATCCAGATATTCTCCATGTCTAATAAGAATTATGTGACGTGCAACTTTTGGGGTGGCCTTCTCCAGTTCGCTGTTATAACGATTCTGTTCCTGGGGTGTATCATTCTTGACAGGCTTTACCAAACTTCTGGGGCTTCTACAATCCCAATTACTGTCCCAGAGCGCACAAGCATTCACCGGCTTGTCGCTATTCGTCCATGACATTTGTACATTTTGTTGATTGTCACGCAATTTTTGATAATAATAGGCACCCAGACCGGCACCAGTTCCCAAGGCGACAACGCCGAATTTCCTTACTCCATGCCACATAACCATGTTGCTTTCCTTTGTATACTAAGAATATCAATGTTCAAGGGAATTTTTGCTTGTGAAATTAAATAAAAATTAAAAGCTTCCAACACTTTTGAAATCAATGTTCAGATGAGCTGTTCAGTGAACGAAACTTTCGGGACTATATTTAGTAGATGACACAAAATCGATATTCCCAATTAGAAAAAAGTCGATTAATCGGTCAATCGAAAGTCAACTTACATATCCCTATTCCAAGTCAATCAAAAGTAGCAGCCGGCTCTGTGAGAAAAGTTTTCTTCAAATAATTCTGGGAAAATTTCAAAAGATCGTTTAACATTCATTTTTCTGGGTATGTAATATTTAAAAAATTATGAAAATATAGATTTTTACACGAATATAAAGTGAATTTCGTAATCTTGACTATATAAAAACGAAATAAAAATCCCTTCTCATTGGCGGCAATTTTGTTAGGGTAATCGAGTAATCGTTTCTTGAGTAATTGTTCTTGCCTTGAAACCTTAATAAAAAGCGTACAGTTTATTAACCCTTGAAAGTGTAATCGATTTTTTACATTTTTGCAGAAACCCATAATTTCTAATTGGAATAATTTCTAAATTCTAGTAATTAAAACCTCTCCTAATAATAGAAGAAAATAGCCAAAAACAATGTCGAGGACTACAACAACAACAGAAAAGGAAACAAACATATGTCAAAATAGTAAACAACCAAAAACGGTTCAGAATTCGAATAAAAATGAAGATTCTTTGCATGATGACTTAATTGTCACATTGCAAGAAATCTTGTCGGATTTAACTGATGATGTACTAAAGGAATTAAAAACTGTGGCAAATAAGGAAAACGATGAAATTAAAGACCTAAACAACAATAATAAAAATACGGCAAAAACTAAAGTAACTAAGACAATCTCCAAATCAAAAGATCGATTTAAACAGAGAAAGCAATTTTGTCCAAATATCGCTAGAGCTATTATCAGCGAATATCACAATGGAGCAAATTGCATTGAATTATATATAAACGGTTGGTATTTTCGTGGATTCATTGATACCGGTACAACAGTAACATGTTTGGGAATGGGTTGTTTGGATTTTGTCCAAAGAAACGGTTTGGAAATATTTCCCTGCTACCAGCCATATATTCGAACAGCTGATGGTCAAATAAATGATATTGTGGGCACGGTACGCATAAATGTTGGCTATAATGGACATACAAAACCTTTGACAGTATTATTGGTACCATCTCTGAAGATACGCATATCAATCGGTTTAGATGTGGTTAATACATTCAATATCAGAGTATCACAATATGTTAGTCGATTATATTCATCATATGATTATAATTATTACAATAATTATTTTTGATATAAAAAAATTAAATGAATGAATGAACGTCAGAAAAACACTGCTACCTCCTAAACATCACATTCTGAATATTTATACATCTTCTGTGAAATGAATTTATACGTTATTAATTGTTATCGACTTGTATTTAATGCAAATAAAACACGAAGATAAAAATAAAAAAACTAAGATTTTCATTAATTTTTTTGTTTTAGGATATTTTTTAGTTTTATTTTTAATCTTACGTACATAAAAATATTTGCTTAAAATATATTGAAAAAGACAGAAAGGATCATAATAATTAAGAGTCTCAACTTTGTAATTAAGTTTTGTTTTGTGGAGGAAAAACATTAGTTATTAACAAATTGGGATTACAAATGGAAGAGTTGGTTCAAAAAATTTAATTAATGTATGTGTTTCCTTCCAGAACTGCATGAATGTAAAAATTTGTGCTACTATAATCGATTTTCTCTTTAGGATGTCGAACCAATTTGCAAAGCAAGTAGATTCTTGCATATTCTGAAACAGGACAATAATTTCCAAAACTAGGTATAACTAGAGTTAATTACGCAACGCTGTTTAAGTTGTTTAATATTTACCGCAAATAGACACCCACTGAATAAAAAATACCCATTAGCGGAGAAACGATATCTTAAGAAAAATGCTTTCCATGGAATAGAATTCGGAGCGGATATCCATGATGGGCTATATGATTCCATAATTTCTTGAATCATGGTAAAAAAATAAAGGTAGATGCATCAACGCTTGGGAACATTGATATGTCAAAAAATTTAATTTTGATTTAATTTTGAGTAGTCATGTATAGGAGTTCTTGGAACCATCAATCAATTGTTAATTTTATTCATTTTTTGTTAATTTGTTTTAGTGTTTAATTTTAAGTAATTCTTTTAGGATTAAGGATATTATAATAATTTTAGAGTAGTCATGTATAGAAGTTTTTTGAACCGTCCATGGCCCTGTTGGCTAGGTTTCTGTACTAATTGAAAATAAATAAATAAAATAAATAACTGTTATATAAAATATAAGTAGATTTTTATATGTTTTCTTATATGACGCCATTCGGGTGTTATTGTTATTATTATTCGCGTTTTCCAACCGTTTTTTTTGCAAATTTAAATACTTTTTCATTCAATATTTCTTAGTTCCAAAATTGGTTTGACAGTTATTTGTCCCAGCAGCTGTGTCGATGCGTCTACCTATATTCTTCTACCATATCTTGAATATTTGATCTTAATATAAAAGCGGTCGTATATTATAACGACCATTGGAACGTTTTTATTTTGTCTTCAAATTTTTCTTCCCAACTATCGATTGTTTTATTCGATAAGTCAAAAGTCGACACTGAGTATCCCTAGTGTTTAATGTGTGCAGGGCATAAAAAAAGTTACCCACAATACTTTAGACGTTAATTTTCTAGAAGTTAAGTTAATTTTCTAAGTTTAACCACCCGCAAATTACAGAAAAACTACAAAGAAATGAGAGCGTGGAATCTGCGAAAATGTTATTACACGGCGGTATTTATGGTAAGTTTGTGAGGTGGGCGCAAAGAAAATCCGACATCAATGCAGTCGGATCGGTTGGCAGTGAAAATTGCTACCCTTTAGAGAAAAGAAACACCACGTATACGTGGAGAAATGTCATACACATTGATTTAACCAAACCAGCCGGTCCAGATGGCATGCGACACCATTACAAACTAATGTTTTTGTTTATGCCAAAATAAAACAAAATTATTTTTGGTTCCATTGTTAGTGGTGTCCACAAAATTTTGTAAATGTTTTCCTTTTTTTAATTGCAGATATTATATGTGTTCTATCATCCCGCAGATAGCGGGGCGGTATCTTTGACCAGTGAAAATATTGACATGACATTAGGTGAGTAGTTTATATTTTTTTGATGTGTCGTTGTTGTTTCATTTAGCAATCTTCACATAGATGTGTGTTTGTGCAAACTTCCAGAAACCCTATCGCTATCTCGTTATCAGTTAATAATTTAAGAAATATTTTGTTTATATTTTAATATTTGGCAATTGTTGCTTATATTATGTTTATATTGTTTATTAAGGTCTAGGGCTACATTTTGTGGTAGGTGGCTTTCCTTTTTTTCTGGTTTGTTACAGTGATGCTTCATTAGCTCTAGCCAGCCCTCTTGACGTGTCAAATTGATAATTATTCACTACCTTTGGGGGAGTGGGTGTACGTGTGTGTGCAGCTATCTTATTATGCTAACGGTGTATCATCTTCACATGCTGATACAACTGAATGCAACAAACAACAAACATAAAAAAAAAAAAAAAAAAAAAACAAAAAAAACGTAAACAAACAAGTAGTCACAATTTACCCTCAGATTCATTGGATTCTTTTATGTCTGCGACATGCACACACACAATTTTTCATGTCTAGCCCAAACATTGACTATTTGGGCCGTTTATTGACCTTTTCATTTAACATTAACCTACAACATTTTTTCGGTGCCTAAATGAATTGGAGGTCTGTGCTGTTTGACATGTTTCTATTTACAATGAACGCCATACATCCGTCACAATACTTGTTGATTGTGATGGGCGATCATAAGATTATGTGCTTTGAGAAAATAGCTGTTAAGTAAACGAACTATTTATTTTTCACTTAGTTGTGGTTGACAAAAGATAAATTTCTTATGGTTTGCCTCGATATTGATTGTTTTTTTTTTTTTTTCTTGAATTATATGAATCATCAATGATTCTATTTGAGTTGGACACTTATGTAAAGGGCGAAGTATAAGTGACAAATCTTTTCAATATAAAAATAGCTACAAAATAGTTAGAGTTTGAAATTTAGCTATGTTTTTTTCGGTGTACCAGGACTTGCATACAAGTTGAATAGTAAATAATGTTTCAAAGCAGATATCTCTTCACCCTTGCAATGCAGATGTCGCATTTATTATCCGATTGAGATGAAACTTTTCAACAACTTTTGCTTGGCCCAAGGACGAACCCTTTGGAAATTGATAATCGGATCAGATTTGGATATAGCTCCCATATATATTTTCAACCGATTTATGGTTAATTGTGCAACAAATGGCCAATATCTGTCCAAAAGTCCTGAAATTTTCAGGTAATTTAATGCAATAATTTACCACTTGTTGTGCATGGTACTCAGTGAAGTATGAACTGCATTGACCTTCTCCATTTCTGAAAGGTATATAATATCATATGTGTAAGATGAGATCACGGTTTACATAGAAATGAAGACGGCTTAACTCTATTAGATTTGATAGATCATTCTCTATTTTTTAACCCTCTTTTATTTCATTGCTTGAGTAACAATATATTTGATACATTCAGATTTGACATAATGGAGATAGATCGAATGTATCAAAATCTGTAGAACTGGTTGTTAATAGTAATTAGCCGATTTAAAATGTACATATGTATATTTTTACATATAAAACATATGTTTCTGAAACCTTAATTTCCTGCTACCTTTATTTGCTCGTGGCATATGTAAATAAATATTGTACAAATGCTTGTATATGAAAACCAATGTTGTTAAATGTTAAAATAAAAACACCTGTATGGTAAAGTAGGTTGAATGTTTGCTTAACCAAAAATGGAAATTACGTTAATTTTTCTTTTGTATTTTATTTTATTTTTTTCTTTTGTTTTGATTTTTTTTATAGTCTACACCACAAGGTAGTCAGGGTATTGTCTTTGAGCATTTGTTTGTAACATGCAATAGGAATCACATTCTGAATCGATTTATGCATGTCCGTCCGTCTGCCCATCAATTCTATTTTTGTGAACAAAGTAGTACAGGTCGCATTTTTTGCCAGATTCAGATGAAAACTTGCAAAAATCATTTATTTGACTCAAGTACGAACCCTATTTAAACTGGAGAAAATCGCTCAAAATGTAGATATAGCTACCATATATATCTGAAATTTGTGAAATTTGTTGAAAATCGGTTAAGATATATCAATAGCTGCCATATATTTTGTTCATACGATTTTTTTTTTAATTTGTCCCACACAGACGTAATATGCACTTCGTAGTAACGATATTCAGGGAAATATATCAAATGCAGCTCAGAAATACTTTTGCTAAATTTTATCGAAATCGGTTTAGATTTGGATATAGCTCCCATATATATCTATATTCGTGTTCAAATTAATTGTGCACCAAATAGATAATACAATCCCGAATTGAAATGGCACAAGTGACTCGGCAAATTTAGTAGTAATCGATTCAGAGGAGGACATTCCTCTTTGGTTCCTTTGTACTTTAAATTATAACTATAATCAAACTTGGTATGATATAATTCTTACAAATTACCCATAAAAAAATTTGTATTTGTTATGTGAAGCTCTACTAAAAATGTAAAGTTGTGTAGAGTATCATTAAGTCGGCCCTGCTCGACTTGAAGACTTTCTTTTCTGTTTTTTTTTTTTTTTTTTTTTTTTTTTTTTTTTTGTGAACATTAAAAGGTGATAATTAATGGAAGTTGTTTTGTAAGAAGTCTCAATTACCATGTGTGTCAACAACAAAGTCATTGATCTCTGGAATTTTGTACAAATCGACTCCCATACTCATAACTCCCATATAATCGAATAAGTTTTTTTAGTCACAAATTTCATTTGTTTGTTTTGTAGTTGGCACAATAACCAAAATATGTTGTAACAATACAATACATACAATACATGAATGAAAGCAAAAAATGTCGGAAATAGCATCAAATATTAGAATAAGTTTAGATCTGTTCGAATTGGTCACCTTTGGCACGAATTATGGCCTTTAAACGACCAATGAAACCGTAACACGCTGCCCGAATGTTACTCTGCGGTATTTTAGCCCATTTCCGGCGAAGCACTTGCTTGAGGTGATTGACACTTTGGTATTTGGTTTAGTGCCAACCTTGCTTTTCAAAGTACTCCAGACATAATAGTCCAACGGATTGGTATCCGGAGATTTTGGTGGCCATTGCTGCGCTGGAAGAGAAGCGAGGAAAGTTCATTTTCATTCTTGGGTGGCGTGTGCTGAATCCTGTTGGAATGTTCAAGGTCTGCGGCCAAAATGTTTGCATGCCCAAAGCTTTTATCACCCTCCAGAATATTTTCGCGATAATTTTCGGTATTTATTCTGATGTCACAATAGTCCAACGGATTTGTATCCGGAAATTTTGTCCATTTCTGTTGAAATGTCCAAGGTCTGCGGCCAAAATGTTTGCATGCCCAAGTCTTTAATACACCCTCCAGAATATTTTCGCCATAATATTCGGCATTTATTCCGATGCCGAATATTATTTTAGTGCTAGAAATGAAGCGAGGAACCTCATTTTGTCCATTCCTGTTGAAATGTCCAAGGTCTGCGGCCAAAATGTTTGCGTGTCCAAGGCTTTAATACACCCTCCAGAATATTTTCGCGAAAATATTCGGCATTTATTTTAATGCCATCGGTCGATTAATTCGAGCGGAGAGCGACCATCGGCTGTTATGGTGGCCCACACCATCACTCACCATGACCGGCGCTTGAGTTCTGGTGGCCAACCGAAGGTGCACATTTTCAGCTGACCTCTTTGGCAAGTAAACACGATCATTTTGTTTGTTTACCAACTGGACAACGAATGTTTTCTCTGATCGGAGAAAACCAAATTCGGCAGTTCACGACTTTCGGCAAAACGAGGCAACTCTTCAGCTCTTTTGAGTCTATTTTCTTTCTGTTGCGGTGTAAGTTCTTGCACTTTTTGGAATTTCAATTTCTTTATCCCGCCCGAGTTGATTTTTCATATTTGCCGAATGGAATATTGCAATATATTCAGCTCACGAGCCATTTTTCGGCCACTGTGACGCCGGTTTCGATCATGTCGCTTCTTTACTTTTCGAACCATTTTTACTGATGTTGCTGTTTTCTTCCATCCACTTCCTTGACGTCGGACGTCGTGCTACGCTACCAGTAGCACGGTAACGAGCAATGTTTCGAAACACAAGAGATTTATTCACAATTAAATGCTGGAGTGCTCTAACGATAGCCACTTGTGGTTTTCCAGCCAAATATAAAGAAATCACGCTTGGATTCCATCACGAATAACTTTTTTTCTGCAATAATTCTCACCAAAATGTTATTGTACGGTTGTAAACTTTATAATGAGCTGTCACTGGAATAATTTTAACATCTGTCGAACAACAAGTGGCTTAGAAATGACAGCAATCTGAAGTTGGCTGCACTTTTTTCATCTACTTTTTTTCATCTCACCCTGTAATTGAATCGACCTATTGGAAGACTTTTCTGTTGCACAGATAGGAATATGATTTGCTTCAATATAATTCCGAAAACCTTTGTATGAGCATTCGATATTTGCTGCTTCCAATTGTTTTTTTTTTTTTTTTTTGTGTCTTATGTAAATTTTGCTTTGATCTCTACTCTCTGCCTATTTTTGGTTGATATTTGACATAATAACTTTCACTTTGGGTCGGTCGTAACATATGTGTTTTTTGTGGGTTATGAACTTTAAACCATTAGCTGAAACAGGTTTCGTTTTTTTTCTTTTTGTTGTTTCAAAACTATCTTACGCAATGTAGACTATGCCCTAAGGGGGGTTGTTTAAGAATTTTAGCTAATGATTTTATGCAAATTTCATTCAAAATTAATTATTTATTTATACTTTTTACTCTCTTTTTCTTTACAGCCTCCAATGAATTGGTATTTTTAAATTTTTATGCTGAATGGTGTAGATTTAGTAATTTATTAGCACCCATATTTAATGAGGCTGCAGATAAGGTAATTGAAAATAATTAATCTTTTTTCATAAAATTATTATTAATTGCTATTGTTTTTTATTACCTAGGTCCGGGAAGCCTTCCCCGATGCCGGCAAAGTAGTCCTAGGCAAAGTTGATTGTGACAAGGAGACAGCAATTGCCTCACGTTTTCACATAACCAAATATCCCACGTTGAAAATTGTGCGCAATGGCCAGTTGTCAAAACGTGAATATCGTGGCCAACGTTCGGCCGATGCATTCCTGGAATTTGTAAAGAAACAATTGGAAGATCCCATCAAGGAATTCCATTCACTGAAAGATTTAGAAACATTAGATTCTAAAAAACGTATTATCATTGGCTATTTCGATCGTCGTGATCAACCGGAATATGATACATTCCGCAAGGTTGCCTCAAATCTCAAAGATGAATGCCAGTTCCATGTTGGTTTTGGTGAGGCTGCCCAAGCAATGCATCCGCCGGGTAAGTTTTGCTTAAATTCGTTAAGAAGAACTATTGTACTAATTTATAAAGATTGCATGCTGCTATCTAACACAAATTCCTTTGATTTTCCCCACGTTTATGTCTCTACTTACCTTTTGTAATTGAATACTACCAAAAACAAACAAACAAAAAGGTGGTGAAAATAAACCCCTAGGTAATGCAATACATAATATAACTTTAGGTAATTATAGTTTTTTATTTTTTTATTTTGTTTTAATTTCCTTATTTAACACCTTTAGATTGCCTATTCTTCTTTTTTGGTTGTTTAAATTTTGCTCTAAATTATTTAACATATTCTTAGAGCTCAAAGTGGATTGTGTGTAAGTTTTGGTAGCCAAGGCACAGAACAGGCCAAAGGAAAATACTGGACAAGGAACATCAGATAGGAACTAAAATCGTAACAGTCTTTTAGAGTAGTTTCAAATTCGGTGATTTCAAAACGTGGCCAATTTATCTGGTTCTTCGAAGAAAAAGATTCGAAGAAAAGATTCGCAATAGGTTGTATGAAAGTGAAATTCAGATTATGGGCCCGTGGAAGTTACTTTCAGAATGGAAACTAAAATATAAATGACATTGAGACCCGGCTCAAACAAAAATCCTCGTCAACATTTTATCTGGTAATTTAAAATCGCCTAAAATTTCAATTCTCGGCTCAAACGAAAATCCTCGTCACCATTTTATCTGGTAATTTTAAAATCGCCTAAAATTACGGTCAAGGTATCACCGTGTTATGTGATATTCATTCATGTGAGTAAAGGAGGACTTTTATTCTCTGACTGTATCAAAAACGTCAGAACTACCGGGGTTTCAATAATTCTTGGATTATCCGAAAAATTTTCTATTTCTTTTTTGTTTCAAGAATTGTTGGAACCCCAATATTCCTGACGTTTTTGATACCGTCAGAGCATAAAAGTCCTCCTTTTTACACACATGAATGAATATCGCATAACACGGTGGTACCTTGACCGTAAATTTATGCGATTTCAAATTACCGGATAAAATGGTGATGAGGTTATTCATTTGCACCGGGTCTCAATGTCGCTTACATTTTAGTTTTTATACCCTACACCATATAGTGGTAAGGGTATTATGTCTTTCTGCATTTGTATGTAACATGGAGAAGGAAGCGAGATGGACCCATAGTTACTTTTGATGATCTTCATAGAATCACTTTCTGAGTCAGTCCATCTGTCCATGTATTCTTGTGAACAAAATGCAGGTCGCATTTATTATACGATTGAGATGAAATTTTCCACACAACATTTGTTTGGCCCAAGGACGAACCCTTTTGAAATTGGTGATAATCGGAACAGATTTGATTATAGCTCCCATATGTATCTTCAAACGATTTCGAGTTAAATGTGCACCAAACGGGCAATATCTGTCCAAATGACCTGAATTTTGGTACATCCCACCGAATTTAGTCTAGAAGCAAGTACATCAAATTTGGAGAAAATCGCTTCAGATATAGCTATAGCTCCCATATATAGGTTTCATCCGATTTGGGTTTTAAGATCCTTCACAAGCGTAATATGCATTCCACAACAATGATCTTTGGTACCAGATATTAAATACAGCTCTGAAATGAGTGTATCAAATTTTGTCAAGATCGGTGCAGATTTGGATATAGCTCCCATATATATCTTCGACCGATTTCGGGTTAATTGTGCACCAAAGGGCCGATATCAGTCAAAATGACCTGAACTTTGGTACATCCCACCGAATTCAGTCTAGAAGCAAGTACATCAAATTTTGTGAAAATCGGTTCAGATATAGCTATAGCTCCCATATATATGTTTCATTCGATTTGGTGTTCAAGTCCCTAACAAGCGTAATATGCATTCCACAACAATGATGTTTGGTATCAGATATCAGATACAGTCCAGAAATACCTCTGCTAAGTTGTAACAAGATCCGTTCAGATTTGGATATAGCTCCCATGTATATGTTCAACCAATTTTGTGTTAATTGTGCACCAAATTGCCAATATCAGTCCAAATGACCTGAATTTTGGCACATCTGACAGAGTTCAGTCTAGAAGTGAGTACATCAAATTTGCTGAAAATCGGTTCAGATATAGCTATAGCTCCCATATATGTTTCTCTCGATTTAGGGTTTAAATTCCTTCACATGCGTAATATGCACTCCACAAGAATGCTATTTGGTATGGGACATCAGATGCTGCTCGAAAATACTTCTGTCAAATTTTATCGAGATCGGTTCAGATTTGGATATAGCTCCCATATATATCTTCAACCGATTTCGAGCTAATTGTTAATTGTTGACCAAATGCCCAATATAAGTCCAAATGACCTGAATTTTGGCACATCCGACCGAATTCAGTCTAGAAGAAAAATACATCGAATTTAGGGAAATGGGGTTGGTATGATCTACTTTACACAAAAATTCCCATAGTGGTGCAGGGGGTATCATATAGTCGGCCCCTCCCGACTTTTGACCTTTCCTTACCGATTTAAGTATTTTCCTGAATTGGCAATGAACGTTACTATGCAACTGGTCTGGGCCTTTGATGTCATTATTTCTTCTTCACACACATTCCAACTCTTTGAGCTAAAATCTTATAATTATGTATCTCTTTTGGTAACCAAAAACAATGGCTTAAAAATTAAATTAAATTTATACCCAAGACTAACAAATAAAACATTTTGTTTTCGTTTTTTTCATAAAGGTCATCCCATCATTGTATTCCGTCCCGATGTGGCGTTGACACATGAAAATGACGAAACCTACACTGGCAGTCTGAAAAATTTCGATGAACTGAAAATATGGATACAGGAAAAATGTGTACCACTGGTGCGGGAAATTACCTTTGAAAATGCCGAAGAATTAACCGAAGAAGGTTTACCTTTCTTGATTCTATTCCATCATCCCGATGATACAAATTCCATCAAGGATTACAAGGCTATCATTGAACAACAGCTGATGGATGAGAAACGTAAGACATTTAAATGAATTAATCTCTCATGAATAGAAGAATATTTAATCTTATCCATTTTGTTTTCTTTTTACAGAAAATGTCAACTTCTTAACGGCCGATGGCAAACGTTTTGCCCATCCGCTACATCATTTGGGTAAATCCGAAGAAGATTTACCAATTATTGCCATTGATTCCTTCAGGCACATGTACTTGTTCCCCAACTTTAAGGATATGTACCAACCGGGCAAATTGAAGCAATTCTTGCAGGATTTATACAATGGCAAATTGCATAGGTGAGTTGGAGCTGGGCTAGGTGATAAACCAATGCTTCGAAGCAAACCACTTAAAAGAGCAAAATCGAATAACAGGGCATATCAAACTCTTGGCTTTGAAAGAAGTTTTTGAAGATTTGTCTGAGTTACATTCGTATTTATTTTAAGGATTGTCATACCTTTACTTGTGGATCTTATATGATATTTTCTGGCTTTTAAAGGTATATTTTATCAGAACTGTCTGAGCTAGAAACGTGAATTGTTTAACGGCCATTTTAAAGGATTATCTGAGTTACAATATCTGAATTTTTCAATGTCTCTTGCTTTTATACCCTCAGCCATATGTCTAGAGAGGGTATATATCATTTTATACGTTCAAAACGTTAATCATCAAAAGAACTGTTTTAGACCCTAGGTCTCTTTGGACCAAATCCATTTCAGGACATTTGGAGGCTGGGGCGCACAATAACTCTCGAAGGGGTATTCGATTTCATCCAAACTTAGTACATCGTAATATTATTGTCAAACTTAGATCGAGTTCGGAGATGAGCAATATTGGTCCTCTACTTCTGGTACCTCTCCCACAAAATGTCAACATATTCAATGAAAATAGTTTACTGCACAAAAAGGGAGAGGATAATCCGATTTTGCTTAAACATTGCAAATCCTAATATTTCCATCAGTGCCAGGTCAGGTGCGAAAATGGACAATATCGGACCACTCCATCAAGTACCTCCCCTACAAAGGGATAAAATTTTGAATAATTTTATCTCATAAAATGTGATATAAGTGTCCGATTGTCTTCAAATTACACACATCCCAATATTTTTATGAAACCAAGGTCTCGTGCGAAGATGAAATATATCGGTCCAATCCTTCTGGTACCTCCCTCACAAAGGGTCAAAATTTTGAAGACCATAAAACACGAAATTAACATCCGATTCCATTCGGACTTGGCACGTCTCAATACTTTCATCTACACAATCTCTTTTATAAAGATGGTAGAGATCGGACAATTTCTTCTGGTACCTCCCCCACATAGGGTTCAAGATTTTGAAGAATAAAACGTTCAAAGAAAACGAAATAAGCACCCAATTCTCTTGATGGGGGCCAGCCCAGAGATTTTTTTTATTCTAGAGGCGCTGATACATCGCCTCATTGGTTTTAGGATCATTGGGAATCGGTTATATAAGCCGAGAATCTCCTCCAGTCCCACTGACTGTTCTCGACTGCCTATTCAATTCACAGATATCCAGTTTTCCACCATCTGCAACCTGGGGATGCATCCGATAGCAATCAGTTATGCCCCCAAGGCGGAATACTTTTGAGCTATAATCTGGGGAATATTTTTGTCGGTCTTTCCAACATCTTCCCTCTTGCTTTTTTAGCTGAGCTATATTTTATTTAGTATTTAATTAATACAATTTTTAAAAACTATCAGATATTTTCACACATTATTTATCTTTCTAGTATATAAATATTGTAAATTTTATATCATCGTCTAATTTTCTTATTTTTTGTCATCATTTCAGGGAATTCCATTATGGTCCAGATCCAGTGACAAATGAAATCCAAGTCGATGTGAACTCAAATACATCACCGCCCGAGTCAACATTCAAGAAATTGGGACCATCTAAAAATCGCTACACTCTATTAACAAAAGATGAACTGTAAATTATATTCCTTTCAACTTTAAAATTGTTTTTCAACACACTACAAATTCCACTTTTTCGGATTTGTGGATGTGCTGAAACGTTTTTTTCAATTCCATATATTCCTTCCTTGTCTAAAAGTTTGCTGAAAACAAAAGGAGAAAACCTTTCAACAGATTCTTTTTCCAATACAGAGAAACAAATTTGAAACATTTTTTACTTACAAAAGGTCCTTGAAACTAAATATTTATTTATAATATGATATTGAATTGATTGTTTCCTGCCCCTCTCCTCCCCTTCCACACCACAACTCTTCAAATGCTAATAACTATTTTGTTGATTCAAGCAATCATTGTGATTTTTATGTGCGCCTTCTTTGTGTTTTCTTTTTTTGTAATAAATGAAACAACTTCTCTGCTGAATATTTGGACTCGTATTAACTGTAGAAAGAAAATCTAAATATGAAGTATATTTTCTTTATAAACTTTAGATTATATATAAATAGAGGCCAATAATTACCCTAAATTTTTCCTCAGTTTGCCTAAAGTTTTTTTGTTTGAAATATTTCACTATTTTCTGTTTTGTTTTTAAATTATTGGCATGTTTTTTTTCTCCTAAAATCCACACACACAAATATTTACAGATTATTTATTTGTTTGGCTTGGCATTTAACCACATTTTTTTGAAGTGTTTTTCATATAAATATATATTTTTCTTTTTTGGTATACGTTTACGTTTTAGCAAGCATTTGATTATAAATTGAAAACATTAACACAACAACAAAAAAAAAATGTAAAACACTTTATATAGTTTGTATTTAAATAATGAAAATGATGATGATGTATTATAAATTATGTATAATATATAATAATATTAAAAAAGAAAATTCTATAATAATAAAATTAAATATAGTAAACAAAGAAAAAGCAAATTTAGTTTTGGATATTTCAGATGAAGCTGAAAAACAAACAACTAAAATAATATCAGTCAGTATTGCCGACAGATTTATATTCGTATCTGACCTAAGACTGGTATAGATATTACATTATGCCAGATTTGGACTATATCGACTACTTCCTATACTTTACATGAGATATGTGCACATTTTTGGAAAATGTGGAAATATGCGTGAGGTAACAGATAAAGGGGACCAAAGTATTCTATTTTCATACTCCATCTAATACAGATTCAAATTTGAAGGCAATCGAACTTTTATATCCAATTTTATGCGAAATCATAAATTCCAATAAATTACATATTCATATCAGATTTTTGGTTAAGAGAAATATAATAGTTATGCCAGATATAAGCATTAAAAATGGTGACCCTATGTGGGTGAGGTACCAGAAGGGGTTGGCAGATTTATATCATCTTCACAACATTCATTTATATCATCTTAAAATCTTGAACCCTATGTGGGGAAGTTACCAGAAGAAATGGTGCGATCTCTACCATCTTTATCACAGATATTGTATTGATGGAAACATTTAGATGCACCAAGTCTGAATGGAATCGGATGTTAATTTGGCGTTTTATGAGCTTCGTGAATATTCAAAATATTGACCCTTTGTGGGGGAGTTACCAGAAGGAGTCGACCGATATATTACATCTTCACACCGGACCTTGGGTTAATAAAAATATTGTGATGTGTGTAATTTGAGGAGAACCGGATGCTTATTTCGGATTTTATGAGGGTTTCGGTTATTCCAAATTTTAACCCTTTGTGGGGGAGGTACCAGAAGGAATGGTGCGATCTCTACCATCTTTATCACTGATATTGTATTGATGGAAATATTGAGATGTACCAAGTCTGAATGAAATCGGATGTTAATTTGGCGTTTTATGAGCTTCAAGGATATTCAATTTTCCATCCCTTTGTGGGTGAGGTACCAGAAAGTGTGGTCGGATTTCTACCATCTTCACACCGGACCTTGGGTTAATAAAAATATTATGTTGTGTGTAATTTGAAGAGAAGCTGATGCTTATTTCGGATTTTATGACCATTTTGGTTATTCAACATTTTAACCATTTGTGGGGGAGGTATCAGAAGGAATGGTCGAATCTCTACCATCTTTAGAACAGATCTTGTGTTGATGTTAGATGTTAATTTCGCTTTTTATGATCTTCATGGATATTCAAAAATTTCAACCTTTGTGGGGAAGCTACCAGAAGGAGTGGACCAATATATTCCATCTTCACACTGGACCTTGGGTTAATAAAAAAATTGTGATGTTTGTAATTTGAAGATATTCGGATGCTTATTTCGGATTTTATAATCGTTTTTGGTTTTTCAAAATTTTAACCCTTTGTGGGGGAAGTACCAGAAGGAATAGTCGAATCTCTACCATCTTTTTAACAGATCTTGTGTTTATGAAAATATTAAGACGTGCCAAGTCTGAATGGAATCGGATGTTAGTTTCGTGTTTTATGAGCTTCATGAATATTCAAAATTTTGACCCTTTGTGGAGGAGGTACCAGAAGGAGTCGACCGGTATATTCCATCTTCACACCAGACCTTGGGTTAATAAAAATACTGTGATCTGTGAAATTTGAAGACAATCGGACACTTACATCACATTCTGTAAGAGTTATAATTATTCCATATTTTGACCCTATGTTGGGAAGGTACTTGATGAAGTGGAGCCTAGCACTGATACAAATATTAAGATATGCAAAGTTGGAGAAAAATCGGCTTATCCTTTCTCTTTCTGTGCAGTAAATTATTTTCTTTGAAAATGTTGATATTTTGTGGGGAGGTAGCAAAAGAAGTGAACCGATATTGCCCATCGCCTAACTGGATCTAAGTTTGACAAAAATATTACAATGTACCAAGTTTGGATCAAATCGGATATTCTCTTCGAGAGTTATCGTGCGCACCAGCCAGCCAGACAGACGGAGGGACATGGCTAGATCGACTCCAAATGTCCTGAAACGTTCTTTTGTCCAAAGATTTTTTTATGAGGAAATCCCGCAAAATGTCTTTCCTAACCAAAAACAGTGTATTAATTTGTGTTTATATTTCATTAAAATTTCAAATATACAAATCAAAGCAGCAATCTTGTATTCAGCACATTATGTAGACCCAAGATTGTGAGAGCCATGATGGTTTTCATACATGAATTTCTACATTTAACATCTCTGCGGTTATGGCTACTCTGACGCCTGGCCTGCTCCCTTAAATCACTACAGAAAGACAGATGAAATGTTATTTGAAAATTTTATTCTTATATTTCGTTTAATTACTTACATTTCACTCAAATTAATGTGTGATATTTGATTCATAGAACTTCTATCCGCTTCCATGGCAAAGAGCTAACTATTCCATTTTGTTTAACTACCAGCTACAATGTACACATGATTTTCTCATTGGCCCCATAATAAAAATTAACAACCTAATGATAAGTTTGACATGAAATGAGAAAATGGATTGAATTAGTCAATTAATATTCATTGAATGATGTTCGCTCTAGAGTGCGATAATGATAACTATCTTCAATGAAACACTTGAGTGCTATAAAGTGTAAAACAATTGTAGTTTATTCGTTTTTTGGCATTACATATAAAAACTATTTAATTAACTACAAAAATAATATATGTAAAGACAATTTGAACGTGTGGACGGAATGTGCGTAATATAGGAATGTAGTTTTTTTTTATTATCTAAAAAATACGGATTAAATAAATGTGTTAAAAAACTTTTAATACTAAATGCCTAGTCATGTTTTGTAGTATTTGATTTTTTTTTAAAGAGATTCTTAGAAGGATAAGAGCACTTGTTTTTATGGACGGATTATATATATATATATAAAAATGTATTCGAGTTATGTATATTTTTCTATACATATTTATCTGCAGCTTAATGCGATACGTTCTTATTAAACAATAGCTTTTCGTAGTCCTGCTAGCACCGTAACGAATACGATTCCAATCACTGAATTTATGGCACCTTCAAGTTTTGAAGAACCACTCTGAAAAAAGAATAAAAAAATTGGTTTTAGTTTGTATATCTTAAAAACAACACTAAGAATGGGCTATATCTGCATGGCATCTGTTTAGGAGTCGATAGTCCAAAATAATAGGTAACACTTTCGGATTGATTTGATTAAGTAAAATCTCTAAAGCTTTGCCAGAGTTTCAAGCCGTAAAGTTACAAATTTGTGGCGCGGTTATAGTTTTGGCAACCAATTATTCTACAAAATTGTTCTAGGGAGAATACCAAGACCAAAAAGTTTACCAGTACTTCAAATTTGGAGAATGTTAAATGATAGACTTGATTTAGGTTTGAAGGAGCGTAGTAGCCAGAAATACATTTCGAAAAAATCGTAAGGTCACAAAGTGATCATTTCTGAGGGAGCTTGAGTCCCACCCAGTGAACGTCCACGGTTTCTAGACACCTAGGCAGGTCAGAATTCGATCCATTACGCCATTTACATTTATAGTCTATACTCTAGGTGTATGTTCTGTAAATAATTAAGACTGCACCCACATCCATCCCTATGTCTATAGTTTTTAAAACATAATTACAATCTAATAAAAAAAAATATCGTCCACCCTTTGGGTAGGGGCATTAAAAACTACTCACAATAACAAAGTAATTACAGCGATCACCCTGGCAGCACTCATGGCACGACCAATCTTCATACCAAATGTGTGTGCAATAGGGCATATGACGTTTACGTTGGGCTTGGCAGCGTTGTTTGGTCATGCAACGTTTCGATACATAGTACTGTTTGAGGGCGCCCTGTGAGAAATATGGTTGACTGCCCCAACGGATTTCGGTGCCACAAACATCCTCGCCAGGTTCACAGGTTTTAATGGTGTTCAAGCATTTCTCGACATTACCCGTTTGATTGGAACAAACATAACATTCCAGGCCAGCCACAAAGTTAACTGAAAGCAAAAACAACAACAACAACAGTTGGGGTGGGGTTTCTTCAGAAAACTTTTATTTACGGGCTTGAGCTCTAAACTACCTTGTGTACAATAATAAATGGCTATTATTGCAAAAATAGAGACTTTCCACAGTTCCATGATTTATCCAAAGCACTTTTTTTCAACAAAAAATAACTAATAAACAAAAGAAAGCTAATTCGTTAATGGAAATAAAAACATTAATAACAAGTGTGTGTGAAGACAACACAGCCGAATGAGCATAATTAACGCCGTGTCTCGCCATCTTGAATTTGAACGGCGTAAAATTAAAAAACGCTCCAACCAATACAAACTACTAAGGCAAAAGAGAATAACCGCTGAAAAATAAGAACAAGGTAAAATGACCGAGAGTTTTCGTTGTTTACGAATGAGTGTAATGCATAATAGCCAAGAGCTTTGTTTACAAATGAGAGACATGACGAAATGTTGTGGGAAGGGATTTAAAGGTCGACTTTTAACTAACAAATATTTAGAAGCAATATTCATCGTCGTCATAGGATAATAGGACAATATTGCTTGTGCTGCAACATCTGACCCTTTGTGCTTTTATTTTTATACAAATATATAATAAAAAAATGACAGAAAAGACAATGATGCAACAGAAAATTGCTGAAAATATTTGCCTTGTATGATTAAAAGAGACAAGTTCATAAGACAACGTTCAAAGTTGCAGCCAGTAAACTCGCGTAGTGTAAATCAGAACCTATTCATATAATTGAAGAAACTGTCAAAAAAAAGTCGAATGATTAGTCAGGACAAAAAAAATCAATCAATGAAAAACATTTTAATTTCGAGAAGCGATGTATGTTTCACTATTTCTAAGAAGCCTTGTCGTAAATATGTAGACTGTTTATTTCTTCCTGAATATTTTAGCATTCCCCCCTGTGTTATGATTCTGCAATTATTGACAATTTGTTTGACATCATAGATTTAATAAATATAAAATGAATTTCACTTTATTTGCATTAAATGATTGCGATGACGGGATGATTCTCATTTTCATTTTCTTTCTAAAACATTCGCTAGATTCTTTAAATTATTAATAAATACTGTTTAGTTATGTGCTAAGAATTTGTTTATGAACATTTTGTTTTTTGTTTTTGTGTCGCTCTCTTAGAGAGGGCGACACATTAAGGCGGAGGAAAACAACAACTTTGTGACTTATGTTTATTTCTTTGGTGGAAAAGTGCTGACAATTTGTCCCCACAGTAATGTGCCCATGCCAAAGGCAACACACCACATCCATTGTTCCAACGAAAGAGCTTTTGTGGAGAAGGCCAAGGAGCCGTATTGAATGATGACAATCTAAAGAGAAGAAAAGTTTGGTGGGAAACTTTCATAATATTAAATATATTCGTGGTACCTGGGAAACAAAAGTGAAGATCCAAATTGTATAGAAAATGGGATTGGTGAAGAGACCGGCAAAGACATTACGTTGACCATGGATTTTACGGGCATTGATTTCATTGAACAAAGTCATCATGACAAAGGCATTGAAGATAATGGTGAAATGTTGAGTGGGACCGGAACCCAAGGGTTGATCTTGGCCCGATTCAATATCCAGCCATTTGGCGCCATAGAACAACAAGCCAAAGGTGACCGCCAACATATAAATCGATTGGCCAACAATGTTCTTCAACATGGTGGCCGAAATCAAGGGTTTTGTGCGTCCATAGGGTTTACGCAACAATAGATCGGGTGTTGGCAACTCTGTGGCCAATGCCAATGAGGCCAAGGTGTCCATAATCAAGTTGACCCACAACATTTGTACAGCCTGAAAAAGAAAATTGTTTGTCATTAAATGATATTTTTCCAATAAATTTCTTTACCTCACCTTCAAAGGAGAATCTTGCACAGCACAGGCTCCGACGAAAGCCACAATAACCGCCACCACATTTACAGTCAATTGGAATTGCAAGAATTTCGCAATGGAATCGTAAACATTACGACCCCACATAACAGCCTTAACAATACTGCTGAAGTTGTCATCGGTTAGGATAATATCGGAAGCCTCCTTGGCAACATCAGTACCGGCAATACCCATGGCAAAACCAACATCAGCCTTTTTGAGAGCGGGACCATCATTGGTGCCATCACCTGTCACAGCAACAACTTCACGATTCTCGCTAACCGTACTGTCAATAATACCTGGCGAGGGGGGACAAAGAATGGTTAAATTTGGAAGAATGTAAAATGAAATAAAAAGAAAAAAAAAATGGCTCAATGTTCAATCAAAAATTTTACGTTCCACTGTGACGCAACTGTCGCTATCACTAGGCCAGGACAGTTGCCTTTCAAGGGTAATTAGGTCTAGTCTAAACTAGGAGAACTCCTGTCTATTATTGGGCGCCATAATCCCTTGCAATTACTGTTGTGCAGAAAACCCAGGGATTCTATTAGCTCCTAGAGCTAACACCATCTAAGTTCGGAAACCCACAACCAGCGTTGCTCGGAAAGCCACTACAACCGTTGCTCAAGACTATCACTTGGCCAGGCCAGTTGCCTTTCAAAGGTCATTAGTTATAAACTTAACTAGAAGAACTGATGTTTTTTTATTGGGCGCCATATTATGTTGCAACTACTGTTGTGCAAACCCAGGAATGCTGCAAGACACTAAAGCTAACAGCATCTAGGGTCCGAAAGCCACTACCGTCGTTGCTCAATTTTTGATCAAAAATTGGGCAGGAATGATTTTGCGTTCCATTGAGGCGTAAGAATGGCAATCACATGGGTCAGCTGTGATTAGACCTTGGGTCTTTAGGTCTAAACTTAACTAGAAAAAGTCAAGTTTTTTATTGGGCGCCATATTATGTTGCAACTATTGTCCTGCTTACCCCTAGAGCTAATACCACCTAAGGTCGGAAAACCACTACCACCATTGCACTTTGAGCTATTTTAGCTCTGATAGACTTTCTCAATTTCTGATCAAAAATGTCTTAAGAAAAATTTGAATATTCCACTGTGGGGCAACCGTGGCTACGATTTAGAGCAGCTGCCATTCAAAGCCCTTTCTCAATCCTATGGTTTACTTTGGTGTGTTTAACTGGAATAACTCATGTTTATGCTTGGGCGCCATATTACAGTGCAACTACAGAAAACACTAAAGTTGCCCTCCCCATTTCAACGGCCCAGTAGGTGGAACGTGACAAAGTACAGATTTTTTAGGTCAGCCCAAAAAACACCTAGACTAAACTAGAATTCTTCATGTCTATGATTGGGCGCCATATTACATTGCAACTACAGAAATGATGCTGGCACCTAGAGCTAATTTTTATCTGGGTTGGTAAAACACTAAGTTTGCCCTACCCATTTCAACGTCCCAGTAGGTGGAACGAGATAAAATGCTAAAATCTATTATGATTAGAACAATTCATGTCTATGGTTGGGCGCCATATTATATTGCAACTACAGAAATGCTGCTGGCACCTAGAACTAATTTACCCCGGTTGGTAAAAACACTAATTTTGCCCTCCCCATTTCAAAATCCCAGCGGGATGAACATGACAAAGTCCTAAAGTCTATTAAGTCTTGGTTCACTCTCTTCTCTACAGATTTTCAGGACAGTCCAAAAACCCTCTTATTTTCGTGTAATACAAACCTTTAACCAAAATATACTTGTCCGTGGGTGAGGAACGTGCCAAAACTCGCAATTTGGGCCAAACTTGATCGACCAAATGTTGTTGTACCTAGGAAGAGGTAAATTGTGAAATCTCCATTCTTCTTAGATATAAAATTTGCTCACAACTTACATTGCCATTGCTGTCACGAATACGCTTGTTGAATTCCTTGCCCTCCAAAATCAAGAAATCATCTCCGGGCTTCAAGATACCACACTTGGTGGCAATGGAACGAGCCGTATTGATGTTATCGCCAGTAACCATGCGTACCGTAATACCGGCACGTTGACACTTGCGTATGGCATCGGGCACCTCGGGGCGGACAGGATCCTCAATGCCCACAATACACAAGCATGTCAGGTTGGACATGATATTTTCCTCATCATCCCAGTTGGGTTCACCATCGATGGCAACTTCGTTCACAGCGGCCGGGCCCTGGACAAAATCGCGATAGGCCACACAGATGGTACGTAGACCATCACAGGCCATGGGTTCGATGATTTCACGGATCATGCGTTCCTGCATTTCGCTGGTGAATTCTTCCAAAACGCCATTGTTGCCATAGATATAGGCACATCTGCAAACAAACAGAAGGAGGAGTTAGAATGGCTTTTTCATCCCACCCTCAAATGTTCTACTTACTTTTTCAGCATAATTTCGGAGGCACCCTTGCTGAACAGACGATAGCCACCATTGGGCCGAGGAATTACAGTACCCATGCTCTTGCGCACCGAATTAAAGGTGTAGACACGAGTGAATTTATCTTCGGTAATCTCATCGCGAATCTTTTGATAACTAACTCCTAAGTTTTGAACAAAACCCAAGAGGGCACATTCAGTCTTGTTGCCAACCTGGGTGGGCAAGTCTTCGGGTTTGGGAGCAGGCTACAAAATTAATCAATTATTAAATTTTGTAAGCTAACGCTTTTTTTTGAGATTTTAACTCACCAAAATATTCGAGGTATAGGCAGAGTTGACCGAAATGCCCTGGGTAACCAAGTCGGCCACATGTTTGGGCAGGTCATTGTATTTGGGCAAAATTTTGCATAACTTCTCGCAGATATACGATTGAACAACCGTCATGCGGTTGGTGGTTAAGGTACCAGTCTTGTCGGAACAAATGGCGGTGGCATTACCCATGGTCTCGCAAGCATCCAAGTGACGTACCAGGTTATTATCTTTCATCATTTTCTAGCGAAGGCAAAAAAAATTGTATTTATTAATAAAAAGTGTTGAGAAGTAGTGTGTTTCCAATTTACAAGCAGAAACACAATGAAAGATTTGTCGCTTCGCATGCCATGTGCCATTGAAATTTGTCAAAAGGTTATTATCTTTCATAATTTTCTAACGAATGCACATAAAATGGTATTTATTAATATAATGTGTTGCGAAGTAGCGTTTTTTTTCAAGTTAGAGGCAGAAACACAATGAAAGAGTTGCCGCTTCGCATGCCATGTGCAATTGAAATTTGTCAAAGCCAAAGTTTCCCCATTGTGTTTCAGTTCTTATAGTAGTTCTGGATAATATTTTTTAATATAAAGTGTTGCGAAATAGTGTTTTTCCAAGTTAGAGGCAGAAACACAATGATAGATTTTCGCTTCGCATGCCAT